ACCCCAGCAAGTAAAATTGATCATCACATTCAATTTTCCATCACTGATTCTAGAGATAGTCCTTGCTGATGCTTTTCACACAGAGCAACCTATAGGTTTGTTAGTGGTAAGGAGCAAAAAACCTCTCTAAAATTATTGCAACAAGAGGAAGAACATTTGCCAAAAGAGTCTTCTAATCCATTTATGTACTTTCTGAGAACATACATTGTTTTCTCTTTTATTTATACGCTTTTCCTGTACGTACTCATTCACTGCAGGGACTTGTCCATGCTGGAAGGTTATCCTGATAAAGCATCTTAATGTATGTTTGGAAAATACTTAACAACAAAAACAAAATGAAAGAAAAGGGAGAGTGAGGGTGGAGAACTTCAGACAGCCTCAAAATTTCATTTTAGCTCTGTATTATCACTACTACTTATCTGTGACGAACACAAACAGAAGAACTGCCTTTAGAACTTTGGTGACATTTTTTAAGTCACATGCTGGTGGGATGTTCCTTTTTTGTGTTGCAGTTATTTCATTTTTGTTACCAGTTTGATCTTAGTGCCCTTTACAGAAATCCTACTGGCTGTTAGGATCTGCTCTATTCTTTCGAGCTGAAAAATTTCCCCTGGGGTGGCTTGTTTCTATCACAGTCACTGAGCTCTCAAAAATGTAGCCTGTCTCTTCAGACCCTAACATTAAGTACCCGAAAAATACAGATGAACTGTGACTGTTTCATCTCCTTGTAATGTTGTGTACGTTGTATTCCCTCCTGGTGTATTTTAACTTATTGATTATTAAATATTTAACTGGGTAAATATCTACAGATCAGAGCAGACCTGTTTTGTGGACAGAACGATTGTTTTCTTTCTGAGCTCATGAGCTTTTAAACATTTTTGTTCTCTGATGCTTTCCATTACTGAGTTTTATGGATGATGTAAGGCTTAGAGTTTACTTAAGAACCTAATGGGACCTGGCAATTTTAGGACCTCTTCTCACCTCTTTCCTATATATGATGCACAGCTTAATCCTTCAGGCTTTTGTGTTGCTGCAGCACCCGGTGTGCTATATAACATTCTTATTTCCAAGTCAGCCCAGAACAAGGACATTTATTGCCACAGCTCCCAGCATTACTCAGCCTGCAGAGTACCTGGCTGTTTTGACACTGTGCACTGCTTCTCGTTGAGCTCAGCTCAGGCCACGTTTCAAGTACAGCTGACATTCTTTGACGCTCTCTCTCAGTTATTGTTTTCCTTTTGATCAGGCCTCCATGATGTATATCAAAGTGACTGCCCAGAATCAGAATGAAGACAAAGTCTGCTACTGAACATTATAAGTCAATGACTGCCCAAGCAATGTGTGTTCCCTCATCATGAAAGTGAACAAAAACCAGCTGGACATAAATGTTGAGATGGGTGGGCTCCAGAAAGACTTGCTCATTTCTTCCTCCCCCCAAGCAGTGCAGGGAAATGGCACATCTTGCTGTACTAATTCTGGGCAGAACACAGCCTTGTGCACTTGCACATGGGCTGACAGTCAATGCTGAACAAAAGAGAGATCAGCAAAATATATGCATAGGCAATTTTGAAAATTTGAAATTGCTTCTGTGCGTTCAAATGGACAAATGAATTGCTCTGGGAGCTCTGAAGCCAAACAGGCAGGAGTGTGTGCCCACATTTATTTTTGCCTAAGGAGGTTCTGAAGGTCTTGTTTCAACACGCAGTGCAATTTTCCTTTCAGAGCACTAATAGGAACACCAGATAAGTATCTAAATTGCAACATTTTTTGCTCATAAAATTAAAGCTTATTATGCTGATTAATGCCTAACAAAATGCATGCAAATAAAAATTGCAATGCTATCCTCCCTACTCCTGATATTGCTGGAGTCCCACTTTAAGCATGCCCTAAACTTTGACACCCAATGCTACGACATTTGTAATTTTTAATACTGGTTTGCAGTATTTTTGGTTTCCTAGCTCTGTTTGGCCACATAAGGGTTTTTTTCATTGTTCTTATTATCAGCCTGTTCTCTCAGTAAGCATATGTGATTCTGTGATTCCGTGCTATGTCTGTGCACCCGTAGCCTAAATGCAGATTCTGTATAAGTAAAGTGGAGAAAGGACAGAATTCTTAACCTCTCACTTTTCTTCCACTTTCTGGTAATGCTAGGAGCATTGTCACAACACCGTTTTAAGACAGGTACACATTTTAATTAAGGAAGAAAAAAATAGTATGGACAAGGCTGAGTAGTAAAAGTAGTAATAGTGATATCATGCTATTTATCCTAAGTACTCAGAATTTTTTCCTTATTTCTGTGTGTGATTATAACATGCCAATGTAACACTCAAGCTAGCAGCAGAATTGCACCTCATGTTCCCAGACATCCCATCCTAACGTTGCGTGTTCATGCTGGTGTACGGCTTTCCCAGCTGCAGTGCTGAGCTCCATGCGTCCAACTCTTCAGGCTTCATTCTGCGCTGGTCCCCCAAGGGCTGCATCACTGGGGTTTCTTCTTCAGGGCTGGGTGCATGGTAATTAGGTAAGTGGTAGTAAGAGCGTGAAAAGGAAGCTGTGGTTTTGGAAAGAGGTGTAGGATCAAGGAAAGGGAGCTATCCTTAGTCCTCGGAGCTGCTCCTACAGCGCAGAGCAGCACATTGCTCCATGCAGACGTCAGTAACCTCCCCGGTGCTGCTGTATGGCCACAGGTCAGGTGGGTACAGTCAATCGCCCTATAAAAGCCAGGAAGCACGAGCGCAGCAGAGATGCTGTGGCTCTTGGAGGAGGTATGAGAAGCAGGGCTGCTCTCTTGCGAATATTATTTAATTTGGGCTGTTAGTTTATGACCCCGTCTAGTCGGGTGTAAGAAAGAAGTTGTCACAGCCTCCAACAGGTGGAAAAGGAGCAGAGCAAACAGGGAAGGTGTGTTTAGGGTTAGCTAGCAATATAGAGGCACATGGGATTTGATGCTGCAGAGGGTTTACAATGAAGTAGGTGATTTTGCAGTCAGATGGAGTTGGGGGAATTCTTGCAAACGGGATCCACATTGCCTCTTTGCATGTCAGATCAGAGATATCAATAAATGTTTATGTATATAAAGTAGTCCTTTATATATATATATACCTTAGACAAAGGTTGGCCAATTGCTCAGACACCCATAGCGGCAGTGGTCAGGAGAATTTTATTTTATTTTTTTCAAGACTAGTCACACTGGCTGAGAGCCTGGTGTAAGGCAATGCAGTGAATCACTGGCACGTATCTGCCTCCAACCCAGGCGTTCAGGATTCCCGTTCCCACGGTCTCCCACTCGATCGGCGTTTCTCAACCTCCTCCAGCAGGTGATGCCTCCCTCGGAGTGAAACAGCACAGCTCATGACTCCAGCGTCTTCTGCAAAACCAAGAGAGGAAGACTGATGCCAGTGATAATCCTATCTGGTTCATTTGGTTTGTGTTCAAGGAGATGAATCAAGAAATGCAAAGGATAAAAAATGAATTAGTTAAAGAATTAAAGAATGGACAGGGCTGATGTGAGAAGCCATCTGAATTATTTTCAAGTGAAATTCCCCCCAGAGTTCATTTCCGCAGTTCAGCCCGTGGAAGTTCTGCTGGCACAGACCTCACACTTGAATTATCCTCAACAGAAATGAAAAGCCCTGTATGGGGTGCAGCATGGGAGCAGGCAGAGGGAACCCTCTGTCCCTTTAGCACCCGTCCAGGGCATAGGAGAGGGATCCGTGGCTATAATTAAAGCAAGGAGAGGCTCAATCTTTATCTTCCAGAGCACCTTTACCCCTGTGAGCCACCCCTCTGCTGTGAGATCTGTAACCAGCCCCTAAAACCAGCTTGGGAATCCTTTCCCTTGGATTTCTTTTTGCTTCTCTTGGCCTGCCAAGACACACTAGGTTTTGTAAAAGTACATCCCAAATATGAATAGGTTGCCAGTCTTCACCTAAAATCTGTGTTCATTCGTATACAACAGAGATGCCCTGAAGTGGAAACACAAAGAGGCCAAGTATTGCACAGCTCCCATGGCTGTGCTCATTAAACCAGGCTGAGAATCCACCTTCTGTAAGACTGCACACATGCAATTCGGTTCCTACTCCAGCTTTATGAATTTATCTTTCAGTGCAGATAGCTACTGCCGCAGAGTAGAGTTAGGCTATTGCTGAACTTTGCACTCTTCTTATCTGATGTGAACCCACGCAGGCAGCACTCAAAATGTGTTCATTTGTAGTCTTCAGTGTTTTGCCTGGTTGCTCTTAAATGGTGAACGTGCCACTGTGAACTTTTGGGTCTTTTGCATAACATAATTGAGTTGTTATTGTGCACTCGTGTAGGGCTGACGTTTGTAACCGGTTCATATAAAGATGTGTGCTAAAAGAAATCGTGTCAGACACGGCTTTCTGGTTGCATCAGAGAGAAGTAAAGGTTTATTAGAGGATTTTTCTTTCCACTAGAATACCAATCACGGTAGAGATTAACTCAGGTAACAGTGATTAGGCACAGAAAGTCAGACGGAAGAAGCGGGTGGGCCATCCAGAGAGTTGGGATGAGCCCACGGAGTGAACAGTGCTGAGTTATAGAGCTAGGGCTCGCCCTTGCTCTTCACAGAGCTGTGATCAGGTGTCCGGGTACGTTCTGCTTGGTCAGAAGGTCCTGCAGTGGGAGATGCCAGCTTTGCCCATCAGTGCTCAGACTTCCTAAAACTCCCTGTGGAAAGAAGAAGGAAAGCAGGAAATGTTATCTCATTCAGGATTTGTAATCTTTTTGTTCCTTAGTAATTAAAGGCTGGGCAGTTCTCAGTGGATTAGAATTTTTCCCAGTGTCAGGCTTCATATTTGTCCATACATGCTCATCTGCAGCTTTGCCACTGAATATATGGAACTGCTTCTACTCTTCCCTCTGTAAGTGCAAATCAGGAGTCACTTTAAATTTAGAGCAGCTGTAGCAGTATAAATCTAATACAGATGGGCTTAGAATCTGTATTTGTTTGCTGGGGTATTTACACCAATTCTTTAAAAATTAAAGTAGGATGGCATGTCATATATTTCAACCTTGCCTACCAAACATTAACACACACAGGACTGCTGCAAGTCAGGTAGACTGTTTGATCAAAGCTTTCTAAAAATTATGACCTTCAGCTCATTTTCAGTGTTTTCAGGCATTTGTTTGAGATGCTGTCAGGACCTGAATCCTTACCTGATCTTATAGTTTTTATGGCCTCGGACACTTCCTCCATTGTTGCTCCTCTCTCCAGTGTTTTATTCCCTTCCAGGCAGAGCTTCAGGTTTTCAGCACCTCCTGGAACCACAGCCATGACATCAGATATGGAGAAGACCTTTTGGTCACTCCCTATCTTTGCTGCTTTAGGACTTTGGCAGCTAATGCTCCTTTTATTTTAAATGTGATGAGTGTTGCAGCTATTTCACTCTGCTTTAATCATGTTGCTCCCTTAATACCCATTACACTTCTAACATTTGGCTTCATTCTGATACTACTGACTTCTCTGGTTCCCTGTATGCTTTCAGTTGGGCTTTAGTTTTCCTTTTCCTCCTTTATTTCCTCCTACATATCCTCTGATGAATCTCTTCATAACATCCTTTACACTTGAGTCGCTTGTGAAAATGCCACCGTGTTCATTGTGTTACTGTTTAAGAACAAATGTCGGAGTGAATTTAAAACATGATGGTGAAAGAAACAGCAAAAACGTCTCCAGGTTTCCAAATGTGGAAGGAAGTTGTCAAACCCTTCACTGCCATTGCAAGGGAGAAGTTAATGGAAGGATGTACACTTTTATTCCAGTTCTTACCTTGGCTTTCACAAGATCTGCCAGAGTGGGAGTGGGAAGATGACGAGTGGGAGAGGCAGGATTTTCCCCCTCCTCCTCCACCGCCACCTCCTCCACCTGAAGTTCTTCCACAGCCTCCCCCTCCAGCTCCTCCTCCACTCCCTCCTCCGCCGCCTCCAGAAGCTTTTCCGCAGGATCCTCCAGTTCTTCCTCCACTGCTTCCTCTACCTGAGGACCAACTGCTTCCTCCTCCACTGCTTCCTCTCCCAGAAGACCAGTTAATTCCTCCATGGCCACCTCCTCCTGAGGATCCGCCGCCACCACCTCCTCCCTGCGAGGAGCTGTAAGAAAGGAACAACACACACACAAAATTTATTGCAGCAGGACTGAGGTCCGGCAACCTCGTGACTTTATCGAGGCCACTTTGGGACTTTTCTCTATGGTTGAGAAAGCACTACCATGTGAAATGTGTTCTAGAGAACTGGTTTCAAATATTCCTAAGTAAGAACAAATCAACTGATATGCACAGAGGAAGAAAAAGAAAGAGAGTGAATGGCTTTGGCTGTCTTTCAAAAGTCAAAAATTTGTACTTTGAGTATTTAGAAAGTACAGTTATTCTCTTGGTTGTCTTTCATTTTCATACATAACTTCATAGTTCCTGATTGCACTTAGTGGAACAGAAGGCAAATGATAGTTTTAAAAACTTTTCTACATGTTTTTGTCCAGTTCACAATAAGTGTAGAATAATACAGCTTTGTGCACTGACAGCTAAGCTGTAGATTCAGTATGAATTCTTGTGGTTGTAGTAAATATCCTGACGATGAATCAGTTGCACTGGTTCCCAATATAAATATTATTACTGTCATCTCTTATTACTGTCATCTCCACCTGTTGGCAGAGTTGGCATGTTAATTAATCTGGATGTACGTACCCAATGCCATGCTGTCCCTCCTGCAGCAGTGCCCGGTACTGAGCGATCTCCTGTTCCAGCCGGGTCTTGATGCCGAGCAGCATCTTGTACTCCTGGTTCTGGCTCTCCATCTCGCAGCGGATGCTGGCCAGCTCCTCCTCCAAGGGGCTGATCATGCTCTGGATCTGCTGCAGCTGCATGTTGTAGCGACGTTCCGTGTCTTCCAGGTTGGATTGCAAAGACCGTACCTGAGAATGGAAGAAAAAGTACAGTGAGTACAGGGCTGTGGCAAGATGAGCCCTTCCTTATGCCCATAATGAGAAAAATCTTTGATGGTGTCTTATTCTTTATGTGTAGAGTCTAGCCATAGCTCCAGATAGCTGTATCTCCTGTGATTCCAGCAACTCGCATTTCAGAGGATCAGGAGCAATCGTTGCATACCATGCTGAGCTGAGACTGCAGCTCAATTTCCAGGCTCTGATAGTCACGTCTCAGCGCAGAGATCTGCTGAGTGCTTGATTCCAGTTCCTGACCACTTGAGTGGACTTGTTGACTCACTTCCTCCATCTGAAAAATGAACATACAGGCTTGGAGTTTTTTGGTTTACCTATAATAAGTCACCCCTCAGAGGGATTCTACTATTTTTATCCTAAAAGCAATTGAATAACTGGCATTCGGGGTATCATTCATCTACAGGAAGTTCTTACCAAAAGTTGGTGTTATTTTGCTTTTCTAATATGAACATTCAAACCTTAATCTTTCTGGGATGCAGATGAGACACCTAACCCCCTTTTGTTAGAGAGAAACATGGACTCAGTGATCTTTGTGGGTCCCTTCCAATTCGGGATATTCTATGGTTCCATGAGAAATAGTAAGTTTTCATTCCATTGTACTGATTTCTACTTATATAAACTAAGGAAAATCTATGTGAATTCTAGATGCTTCTGACTATATTTGTAATGAAATAAATCAAGAAAACCTGCTTCTTTACTGCGGGGACAGTTCAGATCAGCATGCCTTAGGACAATTACTTTTTTAAACTTTCAGTGCTCGTCATTTACCTTGCTCTCATACCACCTTTCAACCTCTTCACGGTTTTTCTGAATAATATGCTCATATTCTTGTCTCATATCGTTCAGTTTCTTCAGCAGATCCTCTCCTGGAGCAGCATTGACCTCCACATTCACATCACCACCAGATTGGGTTTGCAGTGATTTGATTTCCTGCAGAGAAAACCCAGGCCCAAGGCAAACAAACAAAAAGGTGAAATTACATTGTGAAAGAGTTTTGGAGTCATTTAACTTCCTCTGAAGTCATAAACCATCCTGGAGCCTTTCAACAACATACGTATCTGTATGTTTTGTTTTGTTGGTTTTGTTTTTGTTTTTGTTTTCTTGTTGCAATTATTCAGCCTTGACTTCCCAGACACTGCTTATGGAGGGGACCTGTGCTAAGAGATGCCCTGGAAGAGCCCGGGCCTGGCACTGAGGCTGTCTCAGGCTTCCCCTTGTTGAGATGCTGCACATCAGGGGGGCAGGGAAGGCTCCTTGGTGCATCAGATGTCACCTGGGAAGCCTTTATTTCTAGTATTGGAAGCGTTCTTGTTTTCCCCTCCAGTTTGAGGCAGGATCTGGCTCTCACCTCCTCATGGTTCTTCTTGAGGCCAATCATCTCCTCCTTCAGGGACTCAAATTGCATCTCCAGGTCAGACCTGCTCAGAGTCAGATTATCCAACAAGGGTCGCAGGGTGTTGATGTCAGCCTCCACGTTCTGCCGGAGACCATACTCGGTCTCATACCTGCACCAAGGAGAAGGCAGAAACGTCAGCCCTAGTCTTGGGCTCTCAGTCCTTCTCCTGCTGACTTTATTTACAAAAAAGATCACATATTGCGGTGTCTCAGTGCCTGCTTTTGTGCCTGTACTCTGTAGCAAACAGCATCTCTCAACCAGCAGAATTATGAAAGCTCTTACTTAAAGTTTAATGTTAATATTAAACTTTAATATGAAAATGGATTCTGTAGTCTATTTCATCTTTTTCTGTAGATTTTGTGTAGGTTTCTTGTGTCTGTTTCATTTGACCTTCAGTGAGAGATAATGCAATTTTTCTTCCCTTAAAAATAAAGCTTTTTTAAAGCTTTTCCCTAAGCACGTTTAAAAAAAAAATCATTCTTTGCTTCCACAGCCATAGGGTGTATTTCCATTGAAGACTGTTACAGAAGTAATGAGAGTTTTGATGTCTTACAGATTATTTCACATGTGCTGTCATGGAGCCAGCAGGAACCCTAGGCTCTGTGGATTGATATTTCTATGTTGAATGAGTTTCTGAGAGAAGGTTGGGGCAAGCAGGAGGGAGGAAGTCAAAGCCTGGAAAAGAGAAATACGTATTTACTTTATCCTGAAGTCTTCTGCAGTCATCCTTGTGTTATCCAGGTCCAAAAGTATCTTGTTGGTTTCCACAGCCGCAGTCACAAGCTAGAAGAGAAGACAGTAGTGAGGACAAATTTTCCCTGTGAATCTCTCAGGTTTGCACAAGAGACACACATAGGAATGGGATGTCCCAGGTGTCTGAGCGTTTCCTACATAGAAGGGCCTAGAAAGGTCATCTACGGTGCAAAACAAAGAGGTACCATTATAAAAACAGCATCAGAACTGCAAAAAAACCTACTTGGGGAATGCAAGAGGGGAGTGAGGAGTCCAATCAAGAGGCTTGGAGCCGTCACTGCAGCTGCCATGCCCATGGGCCAGGGGCTGTACTCAAATGTCAGACATGGCACACCCTGCAGGGTAATTGTTGCCATTTTTCCTACACTCTAAAACCCACTGGAGGCAGCTGAGAGCCTGCACTCACTGCCAATGGACTGGGATGTCTGTAGGGGTGTGCATTGTTTCTCCACTTTGGGCTGGAGAGAGTTGGAGGCATGCACAGAAGGCAGAGTTTCAAGCACACGAGGTACTTGCAGGGAGGCACTTAGTGAATGTAAAATATCCACATTGACTGCCTCAAAGATTTTTCTCAATCGCAGAGGTCCATCTGATGCTTCTTAAGCTTCTGTGACAAAGAACACCCTACCTGATTTTGAAGGTCTTCAATTTCGCCATAGTAGTGACTGTAATCCTTTCTGCCAGTAGGGCCTTGCTTCTGGTACCACTCCCTGATTAACTGCTCAAGCTGAGCATTTTCCTTTTCCAAATTTCTGACCGTGTCCAGGTAGGAAGCCAGGCGGTCGTTAAGGTTCTGCATGGTCAGCTTTTCGTCGTTGGACAGTATTCCCATGCTCCCTCCACCAAAGCCACCTCCGCCAAAGCTGCCACCACCGCCAAAGCTGCCACTGCTGAAACCAGCAGCACCTCCACCAAAGCTTCCTCCGTAACCACCACCAAACCCGCTCCTGGCTGATCCGAAGCCTCCTCCCATGCTGCCACGGCGCATTCCTCCTCCGTAACCACCACCACTCATCCCTCCGTAGCTGCCACCACTCATTCCCCCTCCAAAATATCCGCCCCCACCTCCTCCTCTGCAGCTACCGCCGCTCATTCCCCCTCCGTAACTGCAGTGCCTGATCCTTCCATAGCTCCCACCGCTCGCTGCCCCCCCGTAGCAGCTTCTGGAGCTTCCTCCACCACAACTGCCACCAGAAAACCTGCCGCCACTGCTTGTCCTAGCGGTGTATCTTCGTGAGGAGGCAGAGGAATACGTGCTGCCCCCTCCGCCACCGCCGCCGCTTGCGCCGCCACCGCTGCTCCCTCGGTGGCAGCTTCTAGAGGTCTGCTTGGAGCCACAGCTCATAGTGGCAGCAGGGAAGGATTCAGCTGGTTTTACAGTTGTTCTGGAATCATAGCTCCGAGTCCTCCCCTGCCTGGTCTGAATTTATACCTGAGACAGTGGGTGTCACCAGCGAAGGGAGTACCTTGCCATGTGTATTCGCAAGCCGTGCATTTTATGCCAAGAGTAATTTGCCAAAGGGAGATGTTTGACGGTGTCAGGAAGCTTAGCCCATACCCGGAGTGTTCCTGACCGTTTGTTTGTTAATACAAAACATGTAATTTCTATTGGGTGGCTCTGAATTAGGCAGATATTTTCAGTGATCTAGTCCACTGACTTACAGTAATCAGAGTTAAACTCATCCCACTCACCTCGTCCCATTTGCATCTCCTTCAGCACAACAATAAACTGCCACAGCATGAGACAGTGATGGATGTTGCCATCTCTCTTCTAACGTGGTCATTCCTCATGCTCTTTCCCCTTTCAGTTATGTGTCAAGGAATCCCAGCTAATTCTTTATACGCAGGCAATATCTTACTACGTTCTGGTTTATGGGTATCTTATGCCACGTGCTCCTTATTTTTAGTCTTTTGTCGCTTTATGCCTTTTGAAAACATCACAGGATGTATTTTGTAGGTACACTTGAACCATTGAGACTTCTTAATTTCTCCTAAAAACGTAGTGAACATTGGCAAATATGGTACATCAGCAGTTTGTCCCAAACATCCAGCTGCAGTTATGTTTTAGAAACAGCTTATTACGAAAAATTTTATGTCAACAACTTGAAAATATCTCTGTGTAAAACTGCAAGGAAGAAAAATGTGATGGCTTTTTGCAGGAAATATTTGCTCAGACCAACTGAGGTTACAGCACAGTTGAGGGACCCGGGGAAGCATCCTGGCTCTGGGCTGGTTTCTCTTGGCACATCGGTGAAGGTGAGCGACGAGCAGTGAGGCTGTGTCCCCGCTGCTGGAGGGATTGCAGAGTTTCAGCCAGGATGTTTACCTGTCTGAGCGCACGTCCAAACATCCTCCCCCCTGTAGGAGGAGGTTAATGCACAGGAACACCTGCGCTGCATTACCTGAGTATATGCGGGCTGGGTTTTTATTGGGAAAACGCGGTCACGTACAGTACCTCGGCCTTACTCTGTTGCTGTGTGCATCGTGTACAGAGAAGGTTTTGTAAACTTACATTTTGCCCTGGGATTTCTGAAGAGTAGTGACAGCGTGGAAGATACTACTAAAAATTAATGTGGATATAACAAAAAAAAAACACAAATAAATTGTGAGTTGGAGTTCTGATAATGACAGGATGCTCAACTGATGGAGTATAAAACAAATAGAAACATGGACTAGAAGCACAGAATGAGTGAAAGATACAAATGGTAATGTCAATGTGCTGTTAGCTGGCACCGTGTAGGCTGAACTAGTTGGGTGATGTCCAACTTCCCCTATTGATTGGATGTTTTATTTTTTCCTCATTAAGCCTTTGTGATGTTGATTGTTGCTAATTTGGAGGTTTGGTTGTTATGGGCTCATAGCAAGTGTTTGTGGAAACATCTTTTTATAAACACCCCTCCCAGCACACCCTCACCCACACTGTTGGGCACACCTAAAGTTTCAGCTCCCGCTCCGTGTCATGAAATGTCCCAGGAAGCCAGGCCTTCTGCGGCCTGGGGAAACTGAAATCGTTCACTGCAAAACTTGGTGGAGTCTCAGTGATGAGAATTTTAGCTTGTTCTGGTGAGAAATCCTTGTCTCTTGAAGCTCATGCGTCTGTCTCCTGTCCTAACAGCTGCTTTGGCACACGGAGCTGTGGGGTTACCTTCTGCCTGTTGGCTTCCAGTCTCTGATGTCCGTGTTACAGGAACATTGCTGGGTTGTTCTGAGTAATTCTGCAGAAGGGAGAGGTTTATTTATTTATTTATTGGAAGGATGCTTACTGTGTCTGTTGTATCAGTTATTCCTTTTGGTTAGACTAAGCTCTGTGTCTTCCGTTCCCAAGCAGAGCACGTTTGAGCATCAGTGAGTATCCTTGGGCACATCCTTGGTAGTTATCTCTGCAGTTATGTCTCATATGACTGTCCAGGCATCTGTGAGCATACTGAGCTAATCAGAGGATTTTAGACAATGTCTTCTGCAAAACCCAGAAATAAGTGCTACCAGAGAAGCTGTGATGCCTGTGCCTCCCACACCGGTATAGGAAAAGAGGTGTGGACTGAACTGTAAGCTGAGATTTAAAACATGGGCCTTGTTTTGAATCAGAGTATTGTTTTTGGCACTGAGCATAGCTAATGGAGAAAACATACAGTCACAACATACCCTCAGAGCCGAGAGTTTCATGACATTCAGGACAAGCTGCCCTTGTGCATTGACTGACATGCTTCAGGGCACAGCCAGAATGGAAGAGGGTGGAGGAGGAGGATGCTTTGAGGGCAGATGACACCACAGCTGCTTGCAATGAGGTTTCCTCCCTTTCCCTGTGATGGAAACGTTACGAGCTGCTGCCCAGGAGAGGTTGGTGGACTATTTAAGCCTGAAAGGCTCACCCAGTACACCCAGACTGCAGGATGGCCATGTGCTGTGCAGCAGGGCAGATGTGTCCTGGCTGCAAGCAGAGGCCAGCAGAGAAGGAAGGGAGTCTCCTTCCTCTGGGGGGCAGGAGTAAGGGCTGGAAAAGCCACCGTGGCCACCTGGAGGGTGGGCTTAGCACATGGAAGGTCCTGCCTGCTCCCGTGGCACTGCCTTTTCTGTGTTCACAGCCTGCTTTGGGGTCTGGGAGAAGGCACTGAGGCTGCTGAGCACATCTGTGGGGTACAACTGCACCAGTGCCCACCTGTCGGTGTTTCTGTGTGATGAATCCTTTTCAGTCCTTCCTACCTCCGGCCAGATCTGTCAGAAGTCATTTTGCTTGTGTTCCTATAGAGAAAAATATTCCTATAGAGAAAAACCGTGGAAGATCTATCTGGGGAACGTGACTCACCCACTTAATTATACATTATAAACTAACTCCCATTATATAATCATCAAGCAACTTTATTAACACCAGGTAATTCCAAGGGATGGTATTTCTCCATAGTGAAGAAGAAACCCAGTCCCTGCAGCATGACGCGGCTGGAGGCAGCACGTGGTCCTCGTTCTGAGGAGGGACACTGCTCTTCCACTGCGGATCAGCATGGAGCTGCTCTCCTCTCCATTACAATGCATATGGCGAGATTTTGTTCTTATCTCAGTAAAATCCAAATGTTTGAAAACTGGAAAATCTGAGAAAAACTGATTTGGATTAGTTGAATCGTATTAGGGCTTGGTCGTGCTTATTATTTTAGAAGTGCATCAGCTGAGAGTTGCAAACAAAAGGTAATTGCTACCTAACGAGTCCCAGGTTTTTTCCTCTGTAATGAGGGCACAGAGTGCTTTGAAATCTGTTGTTCCCACAAACACAGCTGGTGGTGCCTGGCAGCAATTCCCACCTGAATTTTGGTGGTTCAAAATGTCGGTACTAAGTATTTCTAGCAAAAATTTCATTTTCTCTAAGTTCATTCTTGTATTAGAAATTGTTGTATTAAAAAAAAAAAAAAGAAGAAAAAAACTGTCCCATTCTTGTCCTAGCAGTGAGATTGATGGCTGAGAAAGATACCGTGTTGTTCCCACAGCAGTTTGTACAGCTGCCACGAACCCAGAAGGAGCATCTTTAAATATTTTTAGCATTACTTAGTGGCACAGTACACAGAATGCGTCGTTCGTTCTGCTTCTGCTTGTGTTTATTTCTGGCCACATCTCCTAAAACAAAGCAGCGCCTTCCCAGAGCTCCGAAAAATTTAGCCCATCTGTATACGGCCATTCCCTGCATGCCAAAACACTTCTACAGAAGCGAAGGTTTTTAAAATACCTGTTTTGAAGTGGGGGAGCAAGGCCCCACCTCTGCTGCGCTGTTCTGCAACGCAGGGCGTAGCCCTGGGCACCTGCCCATGCCCTGAGATGCGCGGCTGAGGGGCTCATTGTGCACCCACCCGGTGCCACTGGCAGCCCGAGCATGGGGTGTTCCCCACCCCACAGCCCCCTGGTTTGGGGTCTGCACTATCCTAGCCAGCAAACAGCTCTCCAGCAGGAAAACAACCAATTCCTGCGTGCCGCCTTCTGGATCTGTTACTCATTCAGTATTGCAGGAACCAGCGCTGATGAAACCATAAAGGGCACCTTCAAAAGCTCCACCACCCACTGGAACGATGGTGATTATGATAGGAGCAGTAATTAGGTGAGTCAGGGCTGTGAGAGGGACTTGGACTGTACAAACCCTTTGTCGGGGACTTCGTTAGTTCGGGTCTGAGCAGCTCTTTGCGCAGCCGGCTCGGTGCTGCCTCTTTGGCAAGACCTTGGCAAGGGCTCGGAGCTGCAGCTCTGCCACCCTGCGGAGAGCCTGGCCGCCACCACACGCCGCAAAACCAGCCCAGCACCATCCGAAAAACATCCGTGGGTGTCAGCAAATGGGTGCAGCGAGTTTCGGGGTGGCTTCAGTCCTGGGCACGGCCAGGCAGGGGAACGCACCCGGGGTCTTCAGAGGCAGGAACAAAACCCACGTTGTGTCCTGCAAGTCAGTTTTTCAGAATCAGGCCACATCAGCCTTGCTTGCCATGAATATGACCGATAAATGGAGTAGGAGGGGAGCTTCTGTCTGTGTGTTTGGCTACCGGCATCCCCGCAGCACGCCTCTGCTCGGGCACCCGCTGAGAGCCCCCGGAGCTGCACATTGGTGGCCTCCAGCCTCACCCATGGCCCTGGCAGCGAGAAGCGATGTGTGGGGACACATGGGGACACCTGGGGATGTTGTGGGGACACCTGGGGACACCTAGGGATGTTGTGGGGACACCTGGGGATGTTATGGGGATGCATGAGGATGCATGGGGACACCTGGAGACGAGCTCCTCCTGCGTGCCGGGGGCCAGCCCGGCCAGCACCCACCTTCCCAAGCACTCTGCGTGGCTCTTCGCGTATCGCAGGGCGTTAATTCCCTCATCTCCCGGTATC